GGGGATACCTGACGGGCAGCCGCACCCAAGAGTCTGGTAGGATACCGTGCCACGAGACGGTCACGAGGAAGCAGGAGATTGTCCGGGTAACGGACGGCGATAACTGTCGCACGGGACACGCGGTCGGTACGCGCCGAGTGGTGCAAGCTGGCAGATTTGATACAACCGGATGACAGGCAGCTGGCACTGGCGGCACCAGGTCACCCCACATGGTCACCATATACATGTATATACACCCATATATATATATATATATATATATATATATATATATATATATATATATATATATATATGCGTGCGTACGTGTGTGTGTGCGTATGTGTGTGTGCGTCTATGCAATCTGCCGTTCTAGATGCACGTCTCATCCGAAAATAAATCGAAGCCCTCCTGAGCTTTGGCAATCCACGTCGCGTTTCACACGCGTCGCGTCGCTTCTTTCACCACTGGCGTCACCATTGCTATTGTCACGTGCCGCCTGCCTTGGTGGCTGAGATCCCCGTTGCGGGGCGCCGCCTGCCGTTCAGAGATGGCATGTTCCAGTTGCAAAGAGTGCAAATAAGCTTTAGCCACTCTCGTTATTAGCATCCTCGCGTGGAACTCTGGCCAAAGCGATCGTCAATGCATGTATTCAGTTGTAACGACCTGTCTGCCGACGATTCACCGCCCCTTGTCGGGTCCGAGAGCGACAAATCTGTTCCAATAACAGCAGAATAACCAGCCTTAAACGACGGTTCCAAATCGCTCCTCGCCCTGGAATGCATACATTTTCTTCGCTTCTCACGCAGTTTGCTGTAACTGACTGTAGCTATTGCAGTGTTGTGTTTACATGCACAACGCACAAGTACGCCTGAGGACAAGTGTGAGAGCCACGCAGCAAAACGTCAAAGGTTGCTTGCGGACTCTGGTGCGCGTCAGATTTCGGAGACCGTTGTTGGAGGCCATACATAGCGAGACATAAAAAGGAATGCAAAAGTGCATTTCGCCTAAATCACGGGTTTGGGTTCTATTAATTCGCGCTATATATTTCAGTAGCTATTCAAGGAAATATGTCGCTCTGACTCACAGCCCATCAATGAAAGCATCAAATCACGCACGCAGATCATCGAAGAGAATGATGAAGCCATGTTGCACTCCTTACAGCAGGCACACCCTATGCTTAAAGGCCGCGATTTCTGGGATCTCTGCTATTAAACCATGCAAAACATACAATTAGCTGGTCATTACGACAAACCAGGGCACACACACAAGAGAACACGACAAAATTAAAAAGAGAAGCTACAACTGGCTTTCTATCTAAATTTCCTGCATGGCATCATCGGATCCCGAGCTTTTCGATGACTTCATTCGTATTTGCTGTGTTTGAGGCCACTCCCAAAAGGAGCGGCGAGCTGGACTGGGCAGGAGCGGCGGCGCTGCCACCTCCGGCCGAACCCACGCGCCGTAACCTCCTCCATGCCGTGCAAACCGAAGCACAATCAATATTCCGGGTCATCCCATTGAAATATCGCCGGCGGTCAACCGCGAGATGGCTTCCATATTTTGCTGCATCATCGGCCCGACCAACTAAGCGTGGGATTGCCTGAGGAGAAACGAGCGCTGCAGTAGCTCTGTGCGGCAAATGAATAAGCTGCGCGGCTCCAGCAATGCAGCTAACTCACCATACGTCGGCCAATGCAAGACAGTAAAACAAAACGGGACGCAAAAAGTGCGATTTCGCAGGGATGCATGGGATGCGATCGCGACAAAACACAACTTACGAACACAACTCGTCCAGTGTTGGGCATGTAACGAATCTAGATTAAAAAGCGGTCCTCCGTGAAGTGCACTAATGAGGCAAATGAAGGGTGCACCAAAGAAGCAAAACAGACCCCGAAAAACACAACAAGACCGGACTATCGTGGTCATTCCAGCGCAGGGCATCAGCGTGGTCATTCCAGCGCCGGGCATGAGCGTGGTCATTCCAGCACCGGGCATCAACGTGGTCATTCCAGCGCCGGGCACCATCGTCGTCATTCCAGCACCGGGCATCAGCATGGTCTTTCCAGCATTCCATTCTGTCCAACGACGTCCAGCGTCCTCTTTTGTCACAAAACAGCGTCATTCCGTCCTGACCATGACCGGAACCACACAGTGTCAACCCAGCCAGCCCGGTCTCCAAACCGCGTCCCCATTTTCCCGCTTCACCAGTGTCCATCGGCCCCCACAGATCCATTAGCGTCGCGTCGCCAACTCCGCTGTGCTCAGCGCTGTCCGCCAGCGCCGCCGCTTCAACGCAGCCGCGTCCCTACATCCTATACGCTCGCGGCGGCTGCGGCGCGAGCGTCCGCGCCCGGTCGACACCGCATGACGGAGCGCGCCGCTAATACGGCCGGGCGCAGTCCGGGCGTGTGCCGGCGCCGTCAGCGCCCGGCGCAACAACAAGACGGACGGGGAGCGGCGCGGGCCGACCGGTGACGTCACGCCAGCCGACCGGCCGGGGAGACCGCCGCTGACAGGCCTCATCGCGCGACGCGTCAGCCACGCTCCGGCGGCGGCGGCGACCGTGGCCCGGAGCCGGCACTCAGGGGAACCGCCGCGCTGGCCGCGGGGGGGGGGGAGGAGATCGCGCCCGGTCACAGCCGGCTGCGGTCGCCTGACCCGCGAACAACAGGCACGTCAGCAGGCGCCCGGGCCTCAGCCTGCAGGGGCTCTGCCGCCGCATCAAGCCGACACTAGGTCCTGCAGACGGCCCGGTCCGGGCGGCGTCACCCCCAGCGGCGGGTCAATGCCAAATCCAGCCGTCGGCCCGGATGGGGTCACGTCCTGTGCCGCCCATCACGGCCGGCTGTCGGCGACGCCGACCGTCCGGCGGTGACACATGCTCCGCGCCGGCCGCCGACCGGTCGTGCGGCAGAGGTCGGGCGCCGTGACCCCCGGCAAACGACGGGCCGGCACAGACTTTCGGCGCCGGTGAACTCGGCACATGGAGGACCGGCACGGAGAGGTCGGCGCGCGTCATCTATGTCGTGACCTCTGCAGGTGGAGGAGCGGTGCAGGTCACCGAGGTCGTGACCTCGGTACAGAACGGACGGGCAGCGGTTATTGGCACCATGGTGGCGACAACTGCACACAACGACCGAGCTGATTGCTTCCGTGGCCCCCACGACCAATACCCGTAGCGAATAGATCCATCTAAGATCGTTGCACCTCATACGAATGGTTTATGGCTCGCTTAACTGAAAAGTTCGTTCTGGAGGCTGGTTCCTTACTATACTAAGTTGAGCGTTTGCCACTAAGACGTTCATATAGACTGCAAGCACCTATACTTCGGTAACATGGGGGGGGGGGGGCAGTAGACTCACAGCAGTGTTAACACATACTGCTTCAGAAAGTTATAGTACGTCATTAGCTGCGTCTTATCTAACGCTGTGTTAATTCCCACGACAAAAACCTGAAACGCGCACTTAAATACGGACCACACAGAGGAACCAATGAGTGGGTTCACGCCAGTCCCAATCGTAGTTCCGAACACTGGGGCCGGGGGTCGGCGGGTTCGCGCGCCCCGGCCTACTGCCGCCGTCGCGCACACCCCCGGGGGAAATCGCGTCTCGGTCCGCCCGGCACCCCGCCGTCCCGGCACACGCCGCCGCGACAACTTATTCATGTCCCAGCAGCGGGCCGAGCGGACGGTGACGGCGCCCCGGAGCCGGGGGCGCCACGGTCCGCTGACAGGCCGCCGGCCGCGGCGCTCGGCTCGGCGCGAGGGGCGCGGCCACGGCGCGCCCCGTCGGCCGGCGACGGTCACGGCGCGCCGCCTGCGGGCCGACGGCAAACAGGCCGCATGGGTCATTAGCGGACATGATTACCGGAGCCGCAGCTGCAACAACGCATCCATTAGGCGATTTCCCGGCGGGAAAGTCCCCAATGTGGCTCCACAAAGCCGCCGGGGATCCGGACCAAGACCGTGCACGGACGCACAGGCATCCCCAGTCGAGGCATTTATCTTGAACCCGTTATCGCGGTGCCATTTGTTACACAGGCGGGTCTCGGTTCCGATCTCACCATAAACCATGCTTCACAAACACCGGCTCCTTTCTTTTCGCTACCCGCTAGTCATTTGCTTTCCACGTGCTTCGAGTACGCTGACCGGACGGTGGTGCGGGCGCCATTCTCGTCCACTAGTATTCCGCACAGGCGGCAGAAAATAAATCAGCCGCCCTCTCCCGCCGGCAGGAAAATATCCCCCACCAGGACGCACGCGCTGCACGGCAGGCAGGCGAGACCAGCACCAGCCGCTCAGCTCGGCACACGTCAGTCCGCCGGTCCCACACCGGCCCCGAAGTACGCTGTTTGGCACGCGCACGGCGTCCCTTATCCGGGTAACGCGCACCTCCTTCGTCTCCCAGGTCTTTTGTCTTGTTTTACGCCTCTGCGTGCCTCCATTTCTAACGAACGAGACTTCTATTCCGTTCCCCTCACAGACGCGGCGATGCGCCCGGCCCGCATTTGCATTTACACTAAACAACACCGGTGAATCGAGTTCCCGAACGGCGCCCAACTCAATCGGCACGCCGCCCTTGATGTCGATCACCCGCGTGCTCCAGCGTCAAAGTGACGCATACGGGATCAGACCGGCGGCGAGCACATCACGACTACGCGAGAAATGTGCAAATGCCCGTCCCGCCTCCCGTCCCCTCCCCCAGTCGCCCACTCGCGCGAGTAGGCCGACCTATGGGTCTGCCCCCGAACGTGACTTGCCTGGAGCAGCTCGGCGCGGCCGACGGTCCGACGGTCGCGTCGGCCGGCCACGGCGCGCGCGTGGCCGCCTTTTTGCCGGCGTTCGGCAGCGGCAGCGAAAACAATCGCGGCGCTAATCGCATTTCCTGTTGGTGCTTTGCAGGACCGGACGGGGCGGCCGATAGATGGGACGGCCGGGCGGCGCGGCGCCGGCCGGCCGTCAGTCGGCGCCCGCGCCAGGCGGCCGCCAGCGCTGATCCGCCCGCAGCGTGCCGCCCGCCCGCTCTCCGTGCCGGCGCGCCCGCCCGCATGGCGCTGCACTGGGTGCTGGCGCTGGCGCTGGCGGCGCACGTCGCCGGTCAGCAGAGCTGCCCCAGCGCCTGCTACTGCGACGCCGAACTGAACGTCAACTGCGTGGGCGACACGCTGTGGCGCTTCCCGGCGGGCATCCCGACGGGCGTGACGCGCCTCGAGCTGCGCAGCTTCGTCGTGCCGACGCTGACGGCCGCGCAGCTGGCCTCTTTCGCCAACCTCACCGAGCTGAAGGCGCCACAGAACCGCATCGCCAGCGTGGAGAACGGCACGTTCAGCGCGCTGTCGCGCCTGCTGAAGCTGGACCTCAGCCAGAACGCCATATCTGAGGTGTCAGCCGCGACGTTCGCTGGCCTGGAGCAGGCGACGAACCTCGACCTGTCGTCCAACCAGCTGGCGTCGTGCGAGGGCGCCTTCGCCGGGCTGAGCTCGCTGGAGCAGCTGACGCTGCGCGGCAACAACCTGACGGCGCTCGGGCCGCACACGCTGGACGGCCTCGGCCGGCTGCAGTATCTGAACGTCGACTCGAACGCCATAGCGCACATCGACGTCGGCGCGTTCCAGGGCCTGGGCAGCCTGGCGCACCTGATCCTCAGCAATAACCCGCTGGCCAACCTCAGCCGGCTCGAGTTCTTCGGCTCGCGGCTGCAGTACATCGACGTCTCGGCGGTGGGTCTGACGCGCGTGCCGCAGTCGCTGACGCAGTATGTGCGCGACCTACGGCTGGCCAAGAACAACTTCACTACGCTGCGGCGCGGCGACTTCGACAGCTACCCGGCGCTGGGCCTACTGGTGCTGGACGACTCTGGCGTGCGCGAGCTGGAGGAGGACACGCTCGGCCGGCACGAGTATCTCATGCGACTATGGATGAACGGCAACCTGCTGGAGCGCGTGCCGGCGAGCCTGCCACCCAGCCTGCAGGCGCTCTACCTGGAGGAGAACCGCATCGCCCGGCTGCGTGCCAACGACTTCGGCGGCCTGAGCGCGCTCGAGCAGCTCTTCCTGCAGCGCAACATGATCGAGACAGTCGAGGACTGCGCCTTCTGCGACCTGAGGAGCCTCAGGAGCCTCGACCTGCAGGCCAACCAGATACAACGGCTGTCGGCCGCCAGCTTCTCCGGCCTGACGGCGCTCGAGTCGCTGGATCTCTCGCAGAACCCCATCACCGTCATCGAGGACAAGGCGTTCGCGCCGTTCCTGTCCCTGAACAGTCTGCAGCTGTCTCGGCTCAAGGGAAACGTCAGCGTGCCGAACAGCATGTTCGACGCGCTGGAGCGGCTGGAGAAGCTGGAGATGTTCGACAGCCCGCAGCTGGTGGCGCGGGTCGTCGACTCGGGCCGCCTGCTGCATGGCATCCGCAGCGTCAGCCACCTGAACGTGATGCAGAACCAGCTGACGTCGCTGCGCTCCGATCTGCCGACACTGCTGCCGCGACTGCAGCTGCTCAAGCTGGGCGGAAGCCGCTGGAACTGCTCCGACCCGGACATACTCTGGCTCACCGACTGGATGGCCGCGGGCCGCGTCAAGTTCTACAGCCCGCTATCGGTGCGCTGCCGGCAGCCGCCGCGGTTGCTGTTCAAGTCGGTGGCGCTGCTGCGGGAGTCCGACTTCGAGACGGTCGCGGGCGCCGCACAGCAGCCGCCATCGGCCGCGCCGGCCGCGCCCGTCCCGTCCGGCGCGACCCCTCCCGCCGCCACCGACGAGCCGCCGACGGTGACGACGGCGCCGGCCACCGTCACCGTCACAGCGGCCGTCACGGATTCGGCCACGGTGGCCGTCACAGACGCGGCCACGGCGGCCGTCACGGCGGCCGTCACGACGGCCGCCACGGCAGCCGTCACAGACCCGGCCACAACAGCCGCCGCGACAACCGAGTCCCCGACGGCCGCCCCAACCGCCAGCACGTCACCGGCGACAGGCACGCCGAGCTCGGCGTCCAACACCACCACCGGCCGGCCGTCCTCCTCCTCCGCGAAGACCACGACCCGGACGCCTTCCACGTCGGCGGCCGCCGTCAGCACCACGCCGCCCACACCCGGCCCGGTCGTCACCGAGCAACCCGGCGCGGAGCCGAGCCCCGGACCGACGCCGCGGCCGACGGCCGGCCAGCCGACGCCCGGCGTGGGCCGCGTCAACTACGTGCCCACGGGCCGGCGCGGCACCATGATGGCGCTGGTAACGTCGATGGCGGCCGCAGTCGGCATCATCCTGCTGATCCTGGCCGGCGCCGTCTGCCTGTGGCGCTACCGGCGCGTCTCCGTCTACCCGTTCATGCGGCGGCGCAAGGATTCGTCCATCTCGTACTCGCAGCAGAAGGACGAGGTGAGAGGCGAGCTTGATCGCCCCGGGGGACGGGGGACGCACGGGTGGATCGCTGGCTAGGGGGGAGGAGGTAGCGCAAGGCGCTGGGCGCCTCTCCCACTCCAAGTAGATGGAGCAAGGCTGAGTTCTATCCCCACCCCGCATCAAACACGCACGCCCTGTCCGGACAGGTCCCGCAGTTTTACGAACGGAAGGCCAAATCCGTGTAAGGCGCCACATGCGCTTGAGCGCCCGCCCTCCCGACGCTCATTTGCCACGCTCACGTTCCGTAGCCAGTCCACACATCACGCGGCTCGCCTCAGCTTGACAAGCCCGGCCGAGCAATCAGCTCGCCGAGACGCCATTGACATTCGAGTCGGCCGGCCGCTCCCGACGGCGATCGCTCCCGCGATGGCACTCGTCGGGGCGATCGCTCCCGCGATGGCACTCGTCGGGGCGAGCGCTCCCGCGATGGCACTCGCCGGGGCGATCGCTCCCGCGATGGCACTCGTCGGGGCGATCGCTCCCGCGATGGCACTCGTCCGGGCGAGCGCTCCCGCGATGGCACTCGTCGGGGCGAGCGCTCCCGCGATGGCACTCGTCGGGGCGAGCGCTCCCGCGATGGCACTCGTCGGGGCGATCGCTCCCGCGATGGCACTCGTCGGGGCGATCGCTCCCGCGATGGCACTCGTCGGGGCGACGACACACCAAAAACAATAACGCCGGGCCGCCGCCCGTCCGACTCGAATCACAAACGCTCCCATCTATATTCAACCGCCGGCGTCCGGGGCTTTCCGTCCTCGTCGACCGGCCACTTCTCATAACAGAGGCGGCCGCGAGCCGCGTGACAGCTGGACATCTATTGCCTTTTCCCGGCGCGTCGGCCGCGCGCGCGACGGCCGACCGCGCCGCCGCGCTGACCGGCCGGCATGATGACCGGCCGCCGCTCCGTCAGCGGCGCGCGGGCCGGCGGCCGCCCCGCCGCCGGCGGCGCGACCGGCCGCGGTGCCGCGGACCAGGCACGGAACTGAGCGCGACGTCGTGACGTTTCACGCGGCACTCGTTCCGTGTCTTTAATGCTCGGACTTCTAAGCGAAACCAAACTGCGGACTGACGTCCGAGCCGCACACCGGTGACGCGCAATCGAAGTGACAGGCGTGTGATTGGCATGAGTGATGAACTTGTTTTCGGAGGAGACGCGCCGCGGACATTAATATCTCGAAGTGATATCGGATTCGACAGCCCAGAACACAAAGCAAACAGCACCCTGAAATCGCAGCCGACGGCCGCCCACTCGGGGGCCGCTCGCCCCGCCGGTCGTGCCGTCTGATAGTCGCCTCGTCTCACGCCCCGCCCGCTCCGTCCTCAGGTGAGCATCCTGCACGAGAGCTGCAGCGCCGACGAGGCCGCCTCCGACAGCCACCACGGCCTCTCCAACGTGCTGTACTTCATGGCGCAGAGGGGCGAGGCCGAGTTCGCTGAGCCGGCGCGGCCGCGGCCGGCCAGCCTGCTGCCGCACGCCGGCGTGGACGCGTGCCCGCGCGCCGTGCCCGACGCCTGGGCCACGCCCAGCCCGGACACTGCCCGGTGGTAGGCCGCCGGCGCGATCCTCCGATGAAGAGGACTTGGGCGGCAGCGCGGCCGCTCCGTCGGCCGGCTGTGGTGATGCTCGGGCGCCGACGGGACCCGTCGGACGCGCAGTGAAATGACGGACGCCAGTGTACCTACTCGTTTGTGCCAAACGGAGCGGGCGCGCGACGCCACCTCCGTCATCACGAACACAAGCCCAGGGTGACGAGGTGGACAAGACGCGTGGTGGCCGGCGGTGCGGACGCGACAGTGTTGCCCTGACCCCCCCCCCCCCCCCCCCCCCCCCAGCGCGGTGTGTTCGGACGCCGGCCGCCGGCGGGCGCGGCGGGCCCGGCCGGCACGCCAGAGACGCCGGGCCATGCCGCCGGTACAAACCGTCCGCGCCCGGCGGCGGCGCCCGCTCGGTCGGTCCTGCCGGCTGTCGGCTCCTGGCCGGCGTCCCCACGGCAGGCGAGGTCGGCTGCCGGCGCCGGCCGGCTCGCCGCTCGCCCACATGAATGACTGTGTGTAACCTTCACGGTAAATGGCAAACTTTTCCAATAAAAGCAATTAAAGTCCTTGGTGTGGCCTCCGCTGCCAACGCGCAGAGGAAGTCTTAAATCGAGATTTGACGCCGATACGGCCCCGGGAAACTTTGTATCGCAGTCGTCGCCCGCAGGCATTCGGGTGCCGACAGTGGCGGAGTCGCGCTCCCGCTGCCAGATGTTCCCAAACAGCTGAGCCCCCAGGGGGCTCAGCTGGCGTGTCGGCCGCTCGGTGGAAACCACGCCGTTCTAGAAACAGCTGTGGTCATCCTGACTGTCGAGGGTCCAATGCTGCTCCTGCGTGTCGGGGTCGAATTACAAAATTGAGCCCGGAGGAATAGGTCGCAAGTGGCGGCAAAGGCTATGCATTCACCTGGTCGCGAAGAGTGCAAAATCTGACGTGTTTGTTCCTCATAATCTAGAATGTGGACGGCAATTTAATGTTCACCTCGTGCAAAGTGGATCCTGTCACACAGTCCCGCCGTGCGCTTGTTTTACTCCGGGATGAAGACAAGCCCGGCACCAGGCAACCATAAAGGAGCTATTCGCTACCCAGGCTGTTTTACTCAGAAAAACGGAGCCTCACAGATACGCAATCTTCATATCCCATCTCCAGAGTAATCCTGCCCGGCCGCTCTGCAAAAATTCTGCAATAATTCACCCGCCAATGCCCAAAAAGCAAGAATATCACTGCATCACCCGAACAACACTCTCCTTCCCCGTTGAATCACAGAATAAAGGCGGCTTTATTTGGTGCTTTTGTCGGCCGCCGAAGTTGAAACGACAAAAACATTCATTTCCCGGCCGAGATGAATGAAGCGTTAACCCGAGTCACCTAGTCGGGCTCATGAATACAAATTGCCCGAGGCCGGCCGGCCGTTCGCCGCCGGCCGCTCTAATACTATAGTAATTCGACTGGCTGGGTGGCAGACGGGAAAAACAGGGTCGCACCACACCACGGCGTAAGATACCAAAGCCCGGGCGGGAACAACTCCAACCACGTAATGCCACGGGGAGGCAGACACAACCCCCACTACCACAGAACTCGCCGGCTCGAGCCCAGCAGCGAGGCCCCACCCCCATGGTCAGCCGACAAGACCACCAAGCGATGGCACCAATATCCACCGCACCGAATGTTTGGCACGACGCACAGCGAAAAACGCACTCCCGACACAAACGGCCGGCCGACATCCTCATCCCTGATTATCAATCGCAATCCAGAAGTTTGGTGGCACACGGCGCGTTTCAAATCAGCGGGCTCCCCGGCGACTTCCAAACAACTTGTCCGACAAACAGAGGACAAGAGACGACTCGCCTCCAGAGCGAGCCGAGCCTCAGGCGCAGCTGGCTCTTTTTCCGGCCGGGGCCCGCCGCACAAAGCCGGCAGACGTCGCCGACGGGCGGGGACGGGTCTGAGCAGTCAACGCTCCCCGCCGATAAGCGGCGATCCAAGGCAGAACGGAGAACGCTCCCCCCCCCCCCCCCCCCCGTTGGCAGTCAGCCAAAATCACCATTCGACATGCGCCAAGAGACGAAGTGCTAAGGAGGTGGGGCGAATACGGGGGGAGGGGGGGGGGGGCATCGGGTCTTGACAGAAATGTGTTCACAAACAACGAAGTAAACACGCTGTCCACCTAACAAAGCAATAAAACTAAAAACAGGAGCTCGAGGCATCTTTCACTTACATGAAGCACAGCCAGTATTGACCTTCCTTACATGACACTTTGCCATGATGAAGATTTGATGTAGTCAACTGTCAAGTCAACTATCGATTCAAAGCTAGCCCAGGGTGTTTTCGAACAAACTAGTTTCTGAAAGTTTCTGGAACTCGGCCATTGCCGTCACTTAAATTGCGAATGCTACTCGAGGCAAACCTGCACAAAGAATCACGCCTTCATGCGAGCGGAACCATGCACGCCCAAGCATGCATCAAAAGTAGCGTCAACAATATTGCAAAAAGCGGGTCGCGTGCGTTTTACAGTTAACCATATCAGACCATCAAACTATCAGAACAGACCAGTCCCGTGCGCAAGGCGGCCAGTAAACCGACGGTAAACCCCGTCTATGGTCGTAAAACGTTGAAACACCACCGAGTGCTGGCCCGAAAAGAGCACGTCCCGTATTCACGATGGACTTGTGGCCAGCCCCCGCTAACAGATCAACATTGATCGCGGCTGGTTACGGCATCGTTCGTATCCAGGCGCGCGGTGAACACAAAACGGCACCAATCTACGTGACGGACAGCGTAATGCGCTTCCGCTGAACCGCCGAACGCCGGCGGCAATCAACTCACGGAACGAACGCCGACATCGCTGAATCGCGGGCACCGCTCGGTCAACTCCTATGAGCTGGATCCTGCCAGGACCTGAGGGTCCCGGCTGGGTCGCGCCAAACATGCGCGCGTGACCTGCGGAGTCCAACCTGGTCGTCCGCCCGCCGCGGCACGGCCCCAGAGCCGGTGCGTGGGCGGCACGACGTCGACAGGACGCCATCACAGCAGCCGGCGGGCGCCGCGGCGGCGACGCCACTTCCTGGTCCGTCGCGCCCGCGACGCACGACGGGAGGGGACGCGGAGGGGAGGGGGGGGGGGGGGTGGTAACGGCCGCTGATGCGTCGACGACCGGCCGTGCCGCTCTGGCTCGTTACAGACACCCGCAGCCGCTCGCCCGCCGCGGTCATTGGGTCAATCTGCGCGGCGACGGCCCCCGCGGCGACGGCCTCCGCGGCGTGGTCGCCGACGGCACATCGGGGCCGCGCCCGTGCGGGAGGACAGGGTGCCGGGGACTACCTCGCCGGTGTGGGACAGCCGGTTGGTCCAAAAGGCTGCCGGGGACCACCTCGCCGGTGTGGGACAGCTGGTTAGCCTAAAACCAGAGCGCGCCTCGTCGCTCCAGAGTAAAGCAGGCATTGCAGTGTGCATTCAGAAACGGCAAACTGCAATGCGCATTTATCAAGCAGCTTTTGCGCCGCGACCTTGCGTGGCCATGGCTCGACTGCAGCAGGGACCTCGTCCTTTCCTGAACAGCGTTTCCTCCCACATCCGACTGCGCACATCTCGGCTCCGCCGGGACCAGCCGATGGCGCGGCGGCGCCGTGCAGCACACGCCGTCCCTCCAGCCTCCTCGCGCCGCGATATTGACTTGCAGCAAAAACGACCGGGTGACAGAGCCAGGCGACGACCAGGCCGGCGGCGAGCTCCGCTGGCGGATGCAGCGCCGCCGGACGCGTCGCTCCGAGCCAGCCAGCAGTGCTGGTCTGTGAAGAGGCTGCCGACGACGCGGGCGGACACCGCGCGCCGCCGGACGCGCCGCTCAGAGCCGGTCAGGAGTGCTGGTCTGTGAAGAGGCTGCCGACGGCGCGGGCGGACACCGCACGCCGCCGGTGGCGCCGCTCGGAGCCGGCCAGAAGTGCTGGTCTGCGAAGAGGCTGCCGACGGCGCGGCCGGACAACGCGCGCCGCCGGACGCGCTCCTCGGAGCCAGCCAGGAGTGCTGGTCTGTGAAAAGGCTGCCGACGGCGCGGGCGGACACCGCGCGTCGCCGGTCGTGCATATGTGAGAGCCGCGATATTCCATGCCGCCCGCGGCGATGGCGGCTCTGGTCATGTGATCCGCCTCGGCCGACCTACACCAGCGGCCAGGTCCGTCGGCTCGGCCCGGCGGCCGCCCAGTGTGCACCTACGCGTTTGAAGACGTCCGTGCGCCCCCCCCCCCCCCCCCCATCAGTGTCGGGCCGCCAAGCGTTGACGGCTGGTGATGGGGTCGGCCACGGTGACGGCCGGTGACGGGGTCGGCTGCGGTGACGGCCGGTGACGGGGTCGGCCGCGGTGACGGCCGGTGACGGCCGGTGACGGGGTCGGCGGCGGTGACGGCCGGTGACGGGGTCGGCGGCGGTGACGGCCGGTGACGGGGTCGGCTGCGGTGACGGCCGGTGACGGGGTCGGCTACGGTGATCGGCGGACGCCGCCGCATGCCGGCTGCCGCAGGCTCGCGGGTGCCAGGCGCCGGCTCGTGCGTCACTGTCACCATCTCACTCACAGTCAGACCGCGTGCAGATTACGGAAGCGGCAGCCCTGTGACTCTGGACTGATGCCCCCGGATTTCCTCGTCTGGAACGTATGGTGAGCATACCGCAGGGTGGTGCGACCATCCATCCCATAACACGCTGTGACATCAGCATTCTACCGCCCGTCAACAAGCCATGAGCCCGCCCCACCGACGGCTAAGCTCCGCCACCCGGGCACATGCTTGCACACGCGCTCGCTCCAGCACTCCCTCCCGCTTAAAACGAGGTGCAGTGGCTTATCCAAGTCGCTTTTACTAGAAATGAAGCGGCTCCCGGCGCCCCTATCGTGGCCTGTCCGATGTGACATTCTTGCCAGCGGCGGACGGGATCCGACATACAAATACAGCCCGATGATAGAAAAAGGGCGGAAAGATAGATGCGTCGCAAATGGGACGGACGAAGCAGATAAACAGGCCACGGACAAGTGGAGTGAGACCGACAAAAAAGTCGCAGAGATGCACAACGGTTTCCCTGCTCGACCGACAATTGCCACAATGAACGTTCTAGGTCAGCGGAGGAGCCGCTATCTTGTCTGCGTGTGTTAAAACAACGTGCTGTCAAGTCATTCATTGCGGTTATCTGCCCCTCAGGGGGCGTGTCTATCACGCGCCAGGTCGTCAGCAAAATTAATCGCGGAAGGAGGCTGGGACCATAGAAGGCATGACTGCTGGAGATTCAGCT